TCCAACCCGCGGCCATGCTTCCGTAGTTCTATTTTTCTCAGTCCTATTTTACTGTTCAGTTCGTCGGTCTACCTTAAAGTCATGCTGAAGTCACTCATCTGACATCCTAATCCGTCGGCATCGCTATCTGCTAATTGTTAGGAAATTCCTAGGTCCAAAGTTGCTAGCCTCTTATCCTACCGAGATACATGCAGTGTGACAGTAGACAACGTTCTTGAAAAATCCGGTAGTCCGACGGTAGCTCTAGAAACGGCAGGTCCAATGTTGGAGGCCGCCTCAGATCCTGCCCGGATACATATTGGCAGTATATTGCCGTTAGTCCAACAATATTTTCGTAAACGGTCGGTCAGGAGTTCGAGGCCGTATATGCGATTCAGGCTCAGTGCCCAGGCGACTCTCTCTCTCTCTCTCTCTCTCTCTCTCTCTCTCTCTCTCTCTCTCTCTCTCTCTCTCTCTCTCTCTCTCTCTCTCTCTCCACTACGTTGTCTTCCCCGCAGGAAGCTGAATATCTACATCCGCAAAAACCTCCTCCCAAAACGCAGGACCTTGCTGGTGCAGCTCATTCACGAACTGTAAAGTAGATACGTCCCGCTCCAGCTCGGCCACACGAAGCAGCAAGGCTGAGCAGCCATCACAACATCCACTTGATTCCGACGAAGAAAGTACATCTCCGGTGGACTCATGGACGACCGTCGCCTTCCCTTTGTCTTCTCGTGACTGCTTGGCCCCGTCTATATCCACAGCACTCAAGTCCTTGCACAGACCGTCAACATCCCCTCCAGCGTCCCCTCCATAAATCACGTCATCACAAAATCACCATGCTAATGCTGCTTGCGATTCTGCTTCCCGCAACCTTCTCTCTGCTGCCTCACAACGCATGACAGCGTCTTGCCGTGCAGTTTCCGCCCGCCGCAGTGACGACTGAGTTTCATATTGCTGTTGTCTACTCTCAAGGAGTAACCTTCTAGTTTCGTACAGCTGTCTACACCCAATGTACTGTTGCACGACATAGCCAATCCATCCCGTCACTCTCGTGCGGCTATCCCTCAACCTTCTCATGACAAACCCTGCCCACCGACGAGCGCTGCCACTCTCCAACCGCTCACTCCCATCCTGTATGGTGACCGTTATATTGTCCCCCCGTTATATTAGAAATCGGTGAAGCGTAGACAGCTCTGCTTGGGACCTGTCCAGATCGCGCACCATGTCAGTCTGCAAGCTCGTGTAGTCAGCATCACTCCCTCTGTCGGACATTGGATCAATGAAGCACCCCATCCGTGGTCCTCCCTGCCCAGCCATGGCTCCGAGACAGTAGCGTTCCTTCTTTGCTAAAGTTGATGGTATCAGTGTACAGCTCAGCCTGTCCGTCGTTGGCTGGATGAACGGGAACTCCACCTACTCCACCTGCGGCTTTCCAAGACGGTGAGTGCTCTAAGCACGTCTCCTCAGGCGCTCATCGTACAAACGACAGACCTCCAAGGATAGCGCATCACGGACCAGGTTCCCGCCGGGCATGCATGGAGCACCGTGGTTCGCGGGTGAGGGAAAAGGGTCGACAGGCATTTGAAGATCGTCCACGTCTTCTTCTTCCGGAAGAAAGTCACCCCATTCAAGTAGCAGATTATGCAGGATGCAACAAGCCGCAAACTCGTCCCCTGCGCAGTCCAGATCGGTCACTTGCTGCCGGAAGTAGATTTGGAACCTTTGTTTGAAGACACCAAACGTACGTTCTATCACAAATCGGACTATCTTGTGCAATGAATCGAAAATGTGGATCCGGCGAACGGCCTGATGATGCCCATACGGGGTCACCAGCCAGGGCAATGCGGGGTATCCGCCATCCCCGAGAAGGTATCCATATGGGACTCCCGGAATGAGTGGCCTTTCCTCCCTCGTTGGATCATCGGGATCTTCTGCAAAAATCTCACCCGAAATAGCCTTGCAGAACAAAGATGTGTTTCGCAGAACCCGTCCGTCCGCAACTGTCCCCGGGAAACCAAAGCAGAAGTCAAGGATGCGCGTTTCCGAGTCGCACACAACCTGTGCGACAATGGAGAACCGCTTATGTCTGCCAGAGCAGTAAGCATCACCGTCACGTCGGCGTGGCTTGTCCACGAAGAAATGGGTGCAGTCGATGCAACCCCAACAGTTCGGAAACCCGAGGTCCTTGAACTTCTGCATTCGGATGTTGCGGTCCACATATGAACCGAATCCGACAACATTCGGGTAACTCATTTGAATTGCCTTTGCCACGTCTTGCACAGCACGGAGACCACTGGTCTTCCCCATGCCATAAGCGGACGTGCTGTGACTATGGCAGTCCCCGTGGGATCACCGATGTAGTGCGTACGCCAGCTGCTGGGCTGGTGGCAATGGCTTGCGATATCTCGTAGTCTGTTTTTCCAGAAGGGGACGCACCTTCCGCAACAGCCGGTTGAAGGTTGACCTCCTCATGCGAAGAAGACTCTCGTAATAATCGTCCTCTGCATCGTCGATGATCTCCAGGTCCTTCCACAACCCCGCAGAACGACGCATGACCCACCATCGGGGTGGCGACCGAGCAAGGATGCCGGTGGTTTGAACAATTGCAGGCCATTGCCACAAGATGTCACACCTACGTGCTCGGGAACGTTTCTGCAGTACACAAGTTGTCGCCAACCCCCGGCTTCCACAACGATTCCCATGCCTGCCACCCCTGTCCCATATGAAATTAAACAGGGTCCATGCATCCTCCTCCATCTGTCTCGCGCAAGCAAGCACAGCAAGAATGGCATTGTCTATCAGCCTTCGTGTTCTTCTCCCCATTTCTCGAAATGTGGGCTAACCGAACCCCCGACCCCCAACCAACCGAACCCCCCCCCCCCCCCACCCCCAACCAACCAAACCCCCGACCACACCCCTGCTCCACCACCCCCTAGGACGGTCGCCCTCCAAACACCGCAATGAAGACCCTCCCTAGACATACAGCATGTCCATAACGTGCGCTGCGGCCGGCCGGCGTGAGGCTTTACTGTTGCTGCTTATTCTCCCACAACGAGCCGCAGCGCATGCACACTAGCTTCCGCGACGTCCGTACTGTCTGGCAGAATCGGATTTTGTCTAAGGAAGCACAAACACCTATCCGTGGGACTAGACTCTTTTGACAGCGTCACCACTTCGGGCCCAAGACACAACCACGAAAATGCACCTAACGGGAGTGCACAATGCCACGAAAGCCGAATAGGTCTCGCGTATGAAGCTGGACGACATTATTGGAACTGTTACAAATCGCTTTAGTTTTAAGCCCCTCCACGAATGGGGCCCGAAGGAGGAGGGAGCCACGGAAAATGCAGTGTTTCCACATCACGTACCAACAGATGAATGTGGACCACATAAGGACATTAAGGAACTCACAACGGCCGCTATTCTGACCGCGTCCACCCACAGAAAATTTCCTCGACATAAAGACAACGTTCCCTTTCTTTTTCTTAAAATCGACAAAACGATCTGTGATTTTCACAAAAAATGCCTGAAATGCATTTTTCAGATTTATTTAATGCTTTCGGGGTGTCACACCGTTGAGGAATCTAAACTCAACGGCCGCAGGTGGGACCAGACCCCTGGTTCATACGACGTCTCCGGCATCCCTTGCCCAATTTGATATCCGTAATAACACAAAGCAGAAAAAAGACCCTGGTCTAATCCGGGCCGATCTGTTGTCCTCCCCTCCCCACGAAATGTGGCACCTGATTGTTCCTGGGTTGGACGGGAGGAACGGGGAGGGGACGAAAGTGCAAAAACACGATCTCTCTCTCTCTCTCTCTCTCTCTCTCTCTCTCTCTCTCTCTCTCTCTCTCTCGCTCGCTCGCTCGGTCGTTGGCTCGTATGGATTGTCGGGGAGATAGAAGAGATGCGGTGGGGCTTTGAGATGTAAACCGACGGTTCGTCTTCGAGTTTTACCCGCGTTTGCAGGACAGGTAGATGGGTTCTGTTTAGACATGCAAATTTGAATTTTGAGGGGGGGGAAAGGTCGGTAGTTGTGGTAGGTGGAAGGGTGGGAAGCTCGGGAAGAGAGGTTCTGTAGATGCTCAAATGAATATGGCGCGGTCAAGGAGGAGTGAGTTGACAAGTACAGTAACTCTGGCTGCTTCGCGGACAGCAATCGCAATCAGGGGCAACAAGCGGCTGATTCAGAAGCAAACGGAGCTCATGTACTGGTCGGGGTCAGGGTTTATGAACTCGCCTTTCTCTCGGGGTTCACGGCTTGTACCTCTCGTCAACGCTTTCGGAAGTCACTGTGACAAAAAATAAGAGACGGCAACATTATCCTGAGTAAAAGACAAAGTGTGAGCGGACTACCACGCGTCTTTCTTACAGAGGAGCTTCCACTCCTTCGCCCCCCAGGAAGACCGCAGTGTGTTTGCCCACTGTCTTACGTGTCTGACGCGTGCCAATTGCGTGTGCATCCATACGGGGTGCATGTACGTCTTTGCGCGAGCGAGCGAGCGAGAGAGAGAGAGAGAGAGAGAGAGAGAGAGAGAGAGAGAGAGAGAGAGAGAGAGAGAGAGAGAGAGAGNAGAGAGAGAGAGAGAGAGATGCGTTCGTAGATTGCAATTGATTACCTTTCAAACACACCGAGAGAGAGAGAGAGAGAGAGAGAGAGAGAGAGAGAGAGAGAGAGAGAGAGAGAGAGAGCGAGAGAGAGAGAGAGACAAGATAATCCCTAGACTGTTCTTTGCAAGGGAGGGTTTTACGCTTCTCAGAGCCGACAGAGAAGATAATCCCTGGACTGTTCTTTGCAAGGGAGGGTTTTACGCTTCTCTCTCTCTCTCTCTCTCTCTCTCTCTCTCTCTCTCTCTCTCTCTCTCTCGCTAGATCTCTCTCTCTCTCTCTCTCTCTCTCTCTCTCTCTCTGTGTCGCGAGAGAGAGAGAGAGAGAGAGAGGGAGAGAGTTCCTGCGCTGTCGTTTTCTGTTTGGTTATATTATCCGGTGTCGACAGCGCACGGGAGAACAATCTGGAGAGGAAGAGGAGGAAGAAGTGGGGAACGCCAAGAAGAGGAAAAGAAATCTCAGAGTTCGTGGTCCTCGAATACGTGGTCCGCTCGCCCACCATCGCTGAGGGATGGGAGAAAAACCGGTGAGTCTCTTGGCCCCATTTCTCTGCGATCTTTTCCTGCCCGAAAAATGTGCGCGTTTTTCATGGAAAACAAAACAACACGAACTTTACAAGCTGTGTTCTCTTTCCTTTCCTGAAGCAAGTGTTTTGCCATTTCTTTTCTTCATTCCTTTATTCATTCACTCCTTGGCCCTCCACGTTCTTCTCCGTTGTTTATAGTTGGGGACTAGGCTACCAGCCGGGCCGCCCGGGTCCCGGGTGGCCAGCCCGTGCAACTTGGTGCAAGGACAAGGGAGGGTCCCAGCAGAAAAAAAAAAAAATCCGGAAAAAAACTATGTTATGCAGCAAAATAAACTGAACAACTTTTGCCTCAGGGTCACATCGAAATTCTTTACAAAATTTAAAATATAAAATAAAATTTAAAAATATTTTATTTTTTTTAAAATTTAAATCGTTTTGGCCGGGCCGGGCAAGTGACCCCGGGGCACTCTGGTAGCCTAGGTTGGGGACGATTCTTTTTTAGTTTATTTTTTGTTGGTTCACGATGATTGCGCCATGCTGAGTCAGTAGATTCCTGTGTTTTTTTTCTTTTGTTTGTTTATTTGTTTATTGAGGGGTTGCCGATGGCGGGAAGGGAGGGTGGGGCGGTTT